TGCAAGCTGCCTGATACTCAGGTGGGGACCCCCTGGTTCGTTTGAACCCTTTTCCATTCCAGCCCCTGTCACCGGGCAGATTTTTTCCTCTTGGCTTTTATTTCAGCATGGGCTTTGCAAGGAGGAGTGGAGGGGAGGGAGATCAGGTACAGGACATAGGTATCTCAGCTGCCACACTGGACAGAGCCTGCGATGTGACAGGGCTGATCTGGGAGGGTGTGGAAGATCAACCATCTAGTCCTGGCTTCAAAACTTAAAGGAGCATAAACAGGGGATCACAAGCCACAGGCTCACAAGTCACAAGTCACAAGGTCCTGCTACCCTTGTAGTATTCCGCTTCAAGAGGATGATGGGACCGCAGCACCCCATCCTCTGGTCCGCTGCATTCCTGAACTTCATCTCCTGCCTCTCTGCTTCTATCTCAAAGTAGAGAGGACTAACAAAGGCACTTCATTGCTTAGCCAGCCTGAGCCTGTAATCTACTGCTAGTGCACACTCCGTGGGCCACCATTTAAAGGTGTCAAATCTTAGTGCCTGGGTTTATTCACCTGCAGTATGCAATGAGGTCTGCTTCCCTGAAAGGAGCAGCAGGGGGACTTCTTCAGTACCCTAAAACAGCACCTGGTGGATCCAGGGTTCGAGGGAGTCCTTCCTTGGGGGACAGTCAGCAAGGGTGGGGGACAGTGGGGCAATAGCTGCGAGCAGCAGAGAAGGCCAGGTGAGCTGGGACCAGCCCTGGAGCAGCACTTCTGGAAGGGGAGCTGCAGAGTCCTGCAGGCAGTCATTCACCAAATGTGTCCCACGGGCAGTGGCTTGGGTTATTTTGAGGTCATTTTCAGTTGGGATGACTTTTGAGCATTTTGAGGATTTAACTCATTGGTTCCTCTGGAAGTAAATTTATAGCCCATGAGGTTCACTCCACCGTGGTCAGGAAGGAGGGCGGAGGGCTGGCTGGATCGGACAGGGGCTCTGGGGCTGGGGGGCTGGGCTCTGCGGGTGGGCCTGAAATGTGCAGGAGACCTCTCTTCCGCTCTGCTCAGCCCACCTCCACCCTCTCACCGCCTCGCTGAATTCCATCGGGATTAGCGTTAAGTATAGTTAAAAAAAAAATCAGGGCACAGAAAAGTGAGAATTAAGTAGAATTTAATATTCATCATGCCTCGGGAGAGAAAAGATTTCCTAAGTTTAGAACTAATACAAGGAACTAAGAGAGAAAATATGGACAGACCCGACTGCATAAAAAGGAAAATTGCGTGCCTGTCAAAATTAAACCACCAAACAAAAAAAAAATGACCTGGAAAAAATATTTTCAGCAAATATGATAGACAGAAGCTTAATTTCTTTATTAAATAAAGAGCTTATAAGACTTTCTCCGAAGACGTGGAAACGCATATGATGAGAAATTCAGATGTTTTTAAGAGAGAAGAGGTTGTTAAAATGATTGGGGAAAGCCGGCCTTCCACACAGAGGAAGCACCCTGCTGATAAGGTGAGCTTGGGGCAGGACTGAGCGTGGTTTATTTATTTTTTCTTTGTATTTTCCTACTTTTCTCTAAGGAGTATGCTTTAACTTTAAAAAAAAGTGGTACAAGTCAATTAGTATTTTGTGATCCATTAGTACTATTGTAAATATTAGTACTAGCCACTACTAATAATTGATTGCTATGCATCAGGTATTTTCTACATATCATCATCTCACTCAATCCACATATTTAATCTTCCCTTACCACAGTAAGAACTTGTAATTATTCCCATTTTAAAGATAAACAAACCAAAGGCAGAAGAAGTAAAGAACATGCCCAAGGTAAGAGCCGATGAGTGGCAGAGTGGCTTATGAGACATCAGCCCTTTACCCCTAAGGATGATCAAAGAATGCCTACAAAGTGGGGTCCTCTGTAGGACTCTGGCAGCCAGAGCTCCTGTCCCTCCTGGATCAGTGTCTGGTGTGTGTGTGTGTGGCCCCAAGGAACCCGTGTCTTTTGGGAAGGGCAACTCTTTCTATCCCCATTTCCTGGCCTCATCCCCACTTCCCTGAAAAACAAAAAAGCCAAAAGCACTAGGAGCTTTGGCACTTGAGGAGAGATGGGCAGGAGTCACCATGTGCTTGTTCCCCACCTGCGCTAAATGCTTATTAGAAATATGAAAACAAATGTTCTTAGACTAATTGACTAAAACTCCTTGAACTTGACACAAGTTGGAAAAAATAGCAGAAAAGATCAAAAACATTCAGAAACAGCTGAGCACGTCTTCCTGGAAGGCACGTGCTATGTTTGGTGAATTCTCATTACAATTACCTACTAAGGCAGAGGTGTCCTTAGCAGAGCTGTCTACCTCGTCCTTGAAAGGCTTCCAGTGGAGACAGCCAGGGATGAAAGGACCAGGAAGCAGGCTGTTGTAGGAGCAGATGGCCCACTGCCCCTGGAGGGGGTTGAGGTGAAAGCCCTCCGCCATGTCTGTGGGGGGCCCAGGAAGCTGTCAGGGTGTGACAGGAGTTAGAACACAGGCCCAGTGGGGGGGAATTGGCCCTGTCCAGCAGCCAAGGAGCCTACCTGAAGGAGGTGGGAGTGGCTCCTGGTTAAGGCTTCAAGACTGAGTTACAGAGGTCTAAGGAGATATGAAAGTGATTTTTCTGCAGGGTTCAGGATGTCCACGGAGAAGCAGAGGGGCTGGAGAGGAGGGGAGGAGGGAGCACATTTCCAGGGCCCGACATGATGGGTGCACTGTGGCCTTTGGCTTCTAGGAAATGGAAAGAGTGTCTGGCAGCTCCCAGAATGGTTTCCGAGAATCCCAGTGTCTCTGGGGAGCTGAAAAGAAAGGCCCAGCAATTAACAAAGGCAGAAGCAGAGGAGGCACTGTTGCAGATATTAACAGTGAAGAAACCTGGATTTCCTCATCTTTTTAAAGCACTCCTCTGTTGTTATTGGTGTTCCCGTTCTATAAGGGAGGAAACTGCAGGTCAGAGGATACAGAGCCCAAAACCCCACAACTTGTCCTGGTCTGATCCCTCTGGCTCAGATGTATGGCTTCTGGCCTGGCCCTGAGGCTGGGTTTGCGTCATGCTCTCAAAATTGCCAGGCCCAAGGAGAACAGGGGATAGGCATCTCCTTGCTCAAAGCTCATATCACAGGTCCTTTGTTTCTAACAAGTCATGCTTGCTCCTGTCCAAGGGTCTGACGTCAGGACTTGAGCACTGACAGACAATTGTGCCTGATCATCTGGGGGCTGGGCCAGGCTTGGTTCTGTTTGTAGCCTAGTGCCAGCATGCAGTAAGTGCTTCATAAATGTGCCCTGAACAACCAGTTCCAGAGAACAAGTGCTCTTCAGCTGTGGGAACTTTGGTGTGGAGTGCCCTGACCCCAGGTGAAATTAACTCAGGCCCCCTTCTAGTTCCAAAAATGCTCACCTCAATTCCTCTTGTGTATCCCAAATCCTTCTGGTTCTCTCCCTTCACCTCCACCCAGACCTCCAACTCCACTCTTCGCAATTATTGCTTTGATTCCTCAATTCAAAGCAAATTGAGCCAATTTAATGTATTTTAATTCCCTTCCAGTGGGTTCTTTCTGTTCAGTTCAATTTCATTTCTTCAGTCTGACCAAATTCAATTCCTTCAATCCATTTCAAGTGTCCTCAATCCAGTTTTATGACTTTGACCCCATCCTGACCACTAATTCAACTCCAGTCAATTTTTCCCTTCCATCCATGCTGACTCACCTCCCTTGGGCCCCTAGCTCTGCCTGAGGTGTTCTCACTTTAAGGATGATCTCATACTGTCCTGGTTTCTTAAGCACCTGCGCCCTGCAGGGCACAGACCACCCTGACTTGGGATGACCAAGAGGCCCTATTAGGAGGCTGATCTGCAGAAGAGAGGATGCATATACATCCACTTGCTATGGGGAGAGCTGTCACATGCCTGCCATTTTACATTCTCAAGATGACGCCAAGAGAAAGATATTTTTGTCTTGGTCATTCTCCTTGCTGTAGAGAAGGGTACTGAGGTCCATCCCATCCCATCTCATCCCATCCCATCCCTCTGCTTTCATGGAACCATGGCCTTGAAATTGGGTCATTACTGATGAAACTTGAGCTTGGTATTTACTTGAAAAAAATGATATCCTATTTAGTTGATGAATTTTCCCAACAGTGTCAAGTGATTGCTGTGTGCTAATCACTGTTCCAGAAATGGGGATGCAGTGATGAGGGAGAGAGCAGTGATCATATCCCAGTGCACCTAAGGTCCCTAGTGGAAGGTGGCAGGTCACCTGAGCAAGGTGGGGGTGCCCCTAGCCCAGGCTGGCCCTCTGGCCTGGGTGGGGTGGGAGCAGGAGATGCTTCCTGGTGACAGCATGCCTGCACAGACCAAGTGCTGCTGCATGCCACTGAGTGCACAAGTTATGGCCTTCCTTAGTCATCGGGGGATGACTGTCCCCCAGTATTAGTTACCTGCATGAACCTGAAGCTTCGTACTCCTGCCCATGGAACACAAAGTGACCCATGCCACCACTGCAGGCACAGACTTTGTTCTGAGCAGCTTTCATCACTCCACTAAGCAGCCTGCCTGCCTGCTTCTAGTTATACTCATACCCACCTGGCGAGTAACATCAGACCAGCTCCCTTGGCTCCAATCACTAAGGCAATGACTCCTTAGTCCTTTTGGACCTACTGACTCTAGCTGCTCTGGCTAAGCCTTCTACCCCCTGTGGTTGCCATCTCGCTTTTGCCTTCCTAGCTGAGTTTTGGTCTTCCAAAAGCAGTAAGACTTTGACAAGTAGACATATGTGCTAAGAGGATCATCCAAGAAGTGGAAACAAGGGTTTAGAGGCAAAAACTGGCTAAAAGGAAGCAAAATTAGGGCAACACAAAGACGGCACTGAAGAACTGGAGAGAATTGGGGGCCTATTTTCCCTACAGAAGACACATATTCAGAGAAGAATTGGGAGATGGTTTATGACCTCCACTTCCATTTTCCATCCACCCAGTTATTTTCTGTTTTCTCTGTTTCAGGCATACTTCTGAAGCTCTCCCGCTAGAGCCCAGGGATTGGAACTTCAGCATCTTGTCTCTGGACAGCGCTTCAAATAACTTTGTGCCTCCTCTCTCTGCACCTCACTTACTCCTGCTGCAGCCCCCAAGGAACCCACTTATCTGGTGGCTAATCTGCCAAATCCCTCCTAATGGATAGGTAAAGAGAACTGTACTTGTGTCTATGTCTTAATGTCGCTATGCCCCTCCCTCACCTATCACTCTAGTGGTCTTGAAGGGGTAATGAAGTAATGCTCACCAGATGCTTGACAAACATCAAGTTTTCAGCAGCCAGAGTTCCTGCCCCCTGAGCCAAGTCTAACCTTAGTAGTGAGCAAGGGAGAGATCTACTTGCATACCTGCCCAGATCTTTCTTGAGCAGGTATGACTGTTGTATAAGGACATACAACAGTCCCAAAACCCTGTCTTCCATTTGCGAGTGCTTCTGCTTCTGGGCCCTCTTAGGGTTCCTCAGTGTGTTTTGCTTACACATCTGCTCTGGGCTCTGTGCTCTCAAGCCTCCACCCCACCGCAAACTTCTCCTCAAACCCCCATAACACAGACAGTTATGGTCCATGCTATTTGGAGCTTTGGAGGTTCCACCATCATCCTGCAGAATGGCCTTGACCATTCTCCTGGTTTCCAGGAGCCCAAATTCCTATTTTGAGCATTGGAAATCATAAGTCTGACCCCTGGGGTTGTTGCACAGGAGGAAGCACAGCCTGGTCCCATTTGAGATCACCTAAACCCTGAGTTCTAGAAAGATGACACTTGATTCAGGAATGGAGACTTCATGGTAAGGTTCCAGCAGTGTGATAAGATACTAGAGACACAGGCTATTGATCTGCCTCTACCATCGTGTTTAGTGGCTATGTGATATCCTTCACTGGGCTCCTCAGACAGTGAGCATCTATGTTACACAGGAGGCCAGGACAGAAGCTCAAGTGGGAGAAATAGGTGTCTGTCCAGAGCTAGTCAGGAGGACTTGTGCATTGTTGTGGTGACAGAATTCCAGTGACAATGTTAGAACTAAAGTTTCATCTCATTCTTGTCCAGGATCTTGGATGTTGAGGCATCCTGTCCCACCCACTGGTTTTGCCTTGTGGGCCAAGGATCTGCAGTGGGTTGCTGCCATCTGTATGGGGTCTTCAAGATGGTGTTTCAGGGCCTGTAATTTCCCTATCCTGCATGATCTATGACTCATAAGAAATCAGCACAAGGTGAGTTCTTCCAGGGATGATTCATCCCAGTTGAGCTGATCTCCAGACCATGCAAGAGATGGCTTTTCATCTAGGGAAGTTCAGACCAGTAGGCAATTTCAAAACAAAGAATGATTCCAAAAAGCAAAGCTGGCCAAGAGTAACCCCTCTCCCTGACACAATTCTCTGAGCCCATATATCTGTGCTCCTTCCTGAGGAGGTTGGGAACCTGTGACAGGCTTTTGCTTACAGCTTAACTATTCACTGGGTCAGCATACCTGTGGCTCCAGAGCCCTTCCACCCACTTTCTCCATGGAAGACTGGTGGGACTCTGAGGAGCTGGACTTCAGCACTTCGTCTCTGTGAACAGCACCCCAGGCCCTATGCTGCATTGCTTCTTCACAGACACAGGCATCCACTTAGCCATCCATGAGCAGCCACATGCACCAGCCACCAAGCCAGGTGTTGCTTCATCCTGTGCAACCCCAAGGGTTGTACTTTCCAATGCTCAAGATAGGAAGCTGGGCTCCTATGGTAAAAGCCATTCTGCAGGAAGATGGTGGCACCTCTAAAACTCCATCAAGAATGACCCTCTGTGTTATGGGGGTTTGAGGAGAAGTTGGGGTGGGGGCTCGGGAGCATAAAGCCTAGAGCGGATGTGTAGGCAAAGCACAGAGATGAACAGAGCCCAGAAACAGAGGCACTCTCAAATGACAGAAGATGAAGATTTGCTTGAAATCTTGGTGCTGTACTAAAAGGGATAAGGAATCCTGGGAACCTCTCAAGGACAGTGCATAGATAAAAAGGAAGGTGTGAGGGCCCCTTTGCAATTCCAGCTCGGTGCTGATTACAACTATCCTCTTCCGTCTTTCAGAATTTGAGTCTGGTTTTTTGGTCCAACTATATGGTAGTTTGGGAGCTGCCAATCTTAACTTGGCCCCACCCACTGCCTACAGCTGATTGGCACAGAAACAGCTACCCAACTCAACCTGGGCCAATCATAGTGCTTCCCTGGAATTTCCAGTTACTAAAAATGAAACTCTGGACCCTGGTTTGAACTTCAGTGTGAGCTTTAGTCCTTATTTACTTTCAGGTCATGAGAGAGGGAGGTTCAACTCAGAGAGGGCAGTGTATTTCCAAGGGCCATGCTTATGAGGCCCCACTACTGGTTGGGGACTACATATTCTTCCTTGGAGGTCTCCCTTGTCACCCAGTTCCAGGTACTACACTGTTGAGCTCTATTGTACTGTTGTGTGGTGGACACTTGTCCCTTCCTGATACTTCCTGTGGTTTTCTTATTGTTCCCTTGTACACTTGCTGGGATAGCACCTGGCCCTGAGTATACCCTTAGTGCTTATGGTCTAAGCAGAGGAATGCTAGCTTTGCTAGGGGATGGTTGAATAGCTGTCCTTGGGTCCTGTGAGCCAATAAATTCTCTTTTTCTCTCAGTTTGTGTGTGCTATGCTTCTAGCACTTGCAACAAGAAGCCTGAAAAACAGGACATCTATGGCCTTTAGACAGTCTTCCTTCTCAGCACCTGGGCATCTAGTTTTATACCTGCAAAGGGAAAGGAAGTGACAGAGCCACTCAGGGATGGTGGGGACTAGATGCTTGCCTGCCTCTCACCCAGATTGCAGAGCCCAGTGTGGGCATTTAGGGTCCTGAGATCTGGGCCACCCCTCTCAAGCACAGAGGGAGCAAGGAAGATCTCAGCCTCCCTTAGCATCTGTCTTTCTATCTGGAAGTGCAGACTCCATGAAGTCAGCCTCTGACCCCCACAGTGAGCTTCTCTAATAGTCTGAATCGATACTCTTCTTGCTCAAAGTGCATTGCGCTCCTATAGAATGTCTGGGCACGTGTCCTGGGATGATTATGGGAGGTTAAATTCTGCGAGTGATCCTGCTGAAGGTCAGAGACCCTTGGGTTTCCCCAGGTTGCTCAGCATGTTTGTGGTCCAGCCGGAGGAAAAATCTTGGTTGGTTCAATTCCTTAGGTTGTGCTTGGGCCTTTCTGTAATTTCCCCACAATGTTCATGAACCTCCATGATGTCACAGCGTGTCCCTCGAGATGCCATCTGGATGTTGGAGAGGATGACAGGCCAGAGGGGTGAGTTCGCATATTGGATGTCACGCAGCAAATTGGCAGGAGAAGGCAAAGAATAGGCTGGCGATCTGCTCCAAGTCTCAGCCCTTGCATTCGTCTTTGTCTGGCCACCCTAAGGGAGCTGCGCACCACCCACAAGCTAGCTGGGGCAGAGAGAGGGTTAAGGGGGGACAGCCTGCCTGTACCGCTGGGCCGTGTGCTGGTGTACGCAGGAACGACAGAGCTAATTTCCCAAACACCATCTGAACTGAGTGCATGTTGATGAGGATGATGGTTTTTTAAACTTTAAATTAGAAATTACATTTTCCTTTGCCAAAATAAAGGTGAGAAATCCAATGAATTTGGTTTGGAAAGGGGCTGGAACCGCGGAGAACGTGTCTGCCAGACTCTTTTGAACAAAGAGTCTGGAGCCTGGTGTGTTTGTGGAGGTCAGTCCCAGGTCCTGGCTCCCAACTCTTTGCACCTTGGCCTGAGTAGACTTGGGCTGCAGTGCTCAGGTGTGGGTAAGAAGTGGGCTGTGGCCAGAGCCTCTATGCCTTTCCCTGGGAAGAGGGTCTGTTCCTCTTCTTCTTGGGGGATCACTGTAGGATGTGAGGATGCAGCAGACACCTAGGCTGAACCTGTGCTCCCAGGAGCAGCTGCTATCTCACTGTCACGTTCACCAGCACCTGTATCTTGTGCAGGGGGTGGGGCAAGCTGGCTTTGTCTCCAGAGAAACACTGGTACATGGAGCTACAGAGGCAGGAACAAGGCTATCCAGGTGCAGAAGCCCTGCAGGGTGGAGGAGGAACAGCACACCCTGTGGAAGTTGCTTTCTCAGGTATGGAGCGTCCGTCCTCCATAGTGGTACTGGCTTTGGCTGTTCTCTGGAAATGGTTTAATTTGCATTACCTGGACCCACTGCAGGCTACTCTTATGGAAGCTTCCAGAATAGAATGTGAAAGGGTTACTGGCTTAG